GGGCTAGATGGACCTTTGAGCTGACCCAGTATGGCCGTTCTTATGTTCTTATTGTGCAGTGGGAATCAAAAAAGTTAACATAATGTTAGGAAACTTTAGGGCAGTGGCTCTCAACCTTTCCAGACTACTGTATCCCTTTCATGAGTCTGATTTGTCTTGCATAGCCCCCAAGTTTCACCTCACTTAAAACTATTTATTCAAAAAAGAATTAGATAAGTTCACGGAGGATAAGTCCACCAATGGCTCTTAACCAAGGTGGTCAGGGGCACAGTTCTATGCTCTGGATGTCCCTAAATCTCTGATTGATAGTGCCAGAAGCTGGGACTGGATGACGGGGATGGATCACTTGATAAATTGCCCTGTTCTGTTCATTCCCTCTGAAGCATCTGGCACTGGTCACTGTTGGAGATAGGTATTGTGCTAGATGGATCACTGCTCTGACACACAATGGCCATTCTTATCTTCTTATGTAGGATTACTGGGTTCTATTCCCAGCTCTCAGAGGGCAGTGGGGTCTAGTGATTAGAGCAGGGCTGGTGGTAGCAGTCAGGACTCCTGGGCTCTATTCTGAGCAATGGGGAAGAGGTTGACACTGGCCTTGAAAGCACAGAGAAATACTGGAAAACCATAACATGTTTCCAGCACCATACTTAAGTGGTCAGTGGTTTATATTCTTCCTATCCCCAGTCTCATACAACAAGACAATGATTGCTTTTGCCTGTATCTGGCTTTATTGCATTTAGGGAGCACAGAGAAACAGAGAAAAAAAAAGTGAAGCAAATGACCAATAACACTTAATCTTGACATATATGAGGATTGCTCATGATCAGCCTGAATACACAATACAAGAACATGAAACTGATTAATATTTCTTAATTAAAGGATAGGTTTTTAGATGGCCGCCATGTGACAGCAGGGATAACAAGATGGGGAAGGGCCAGCTATACAGTAGTGGCCACTAGGAACAGCAGAGGGTGAGGGGCAGGGAAGGGGCAGCTATACTGTATAATGGGCACTAGGGGGCAGCAGAGGGTGGAGATTGGGAAGGGGCGGCTATACTGTATAATGGTCATTAGGGGCAACAGAGGGTGGGGTGGGGAAGGGGAGGCTATACAGTATAATGGGCACAGGGGCAGCGGTGGTTGAGGGGTGAAAACACGTATACCATCTTACTAGTGTTTAGAGGTGGGTGAGGAGCCAGGTGCCGTGGCCAATGTGGAAGGGACAGAGCAGGGTTAGTGCAAGCAGCAGGGTCCCCCTCTTGCCTTCCACACCCTGGCTGGGTCCTAAATGTGCCTCACAAATTTCACAGGGAGTCCATTCAAGCAGGCGAGGACAATCTTGTTTTTGCCACTGAGTCCGTTGAAAGAGAAGGTCCCCAAGTTAAATGTGCAGGTGGTGATTGTGAACTCCTTCTTGCTCTTGCGTTTGAAGCCCCCAACGGGTATGCCATCTGCTTTGCAGACGGCATTGATAGTGCTGATGGGCGCATGGATGAAGGTGTTGGTGTACTTCCAGAATACGCCCCGGTCCCACATCATCATGTTGCAGTAGACTTTGTTGTTGATGGCTTCGTTCTTGGGGTTGTTCACGTGCTGTCTCCGGAATATGTCATTCAGCAGATTCCATGGATCCCCGCTGGACAGGGCCAGGCAGGCGACCAGCAAAGCGAGGGGCAGCAGGAGAGCTGGGCAGGGTCCCTTCAGAGCCATGGCTGTGTCTGTCACTGGATCGACCTGCAATGGGGGTAAGGGGGAAGATGGATGGAGGCAGCATGGGGCAGGGCTCTGTCTTCTCCATGGAACTCCACCCATTACCTCCTCCCACTCCCATGATCCCCTCCCACCCCACTCTGTCCCCAGAGCCCCTTCACATCCAATAATTCCTGCACCATTCTGTGCCAGGTTTTGCACAGACCCTGACCAAGATCCACCCTCTCATCCTCTAACCACTATTCATAGAATCATAGAATATATCAGGGTTGGAAGGGACCTCAGGAGGTCATCTAGTCCAACCCCCTGTCAAAGCAGGACCAATCCCCAACTAAATCATCCCAGCCAGGACTTTGTCAAGCCTGAACTTAAAAACCTCTAAGGAAGGAGATTCCACCACTTCCCTAGGTAACCCATTCCAGTGCTTCACCACCCTCCTAGTGAAAAAGTTTTTCCTTATATCCAACCTAAACCTACCCCACTGCAACTTGAGACCATTACTCCTCATTTTATCATCTGGTACCACTGAGAACAGTCTAGATCCATTCTCTTTGGAACCCCCTTTCAGGTAGTTGAAAGCAGCTATCAAATCCCCCCTCATTCTTCTCTTCTGCAGACTAAACAATCCCAGTTCCCTCAGGCTCTCCTCATAAGTCATGTGTTCCAGCCCCCTAATCATTTTTGTTGCCGTCCGCTGGACTCTTTCCAATATTTTCACCCAGACCCATGGATAGACCCCAGGTGTCCTGAGTCTTAGAGGCAGACTGATATTGCCCTGCCCCTGTGCCATGTGTAACTCATCCCCCAACTTAGTCCAGCCGCCCCCCGCCCCAGCCTTGTTCTGTATCCAAGACTTCACACTTTTGTTTGCTATGTAGATGCATCCTGAGTCCTGACTTACTGGCACTCCATACCTGTTGTCAGAGAGATGGATCCTGGTGTCTGCCAAGCTGAACCTCACCTTGATCCTCCCTCCCATCTTGGCGTATGTTATATAGAGCTCAACCAGACATGGAGGGGGAGGAGTTGGACGAGGAAGTCTAATAAGCAATTGGATTAGCATGATTTCCTGACAGCTTGCAATTAAAAGCAGTGGCCCAGCAGTCAGGGCATAGGTGGAGAACAAACAGCATGTGTCCTGCCAGAGAGGCGGACTCCACAAAAACATCTAAAGGTGTGTCTACCCAGCAAGCAAAGGTTTGATTGTAGAGCAGGTGGGCAGAGACATTCCAGCTTTAATCGTTAGTGTGGGTAAGGATAGTGGGCGGCACAGACTTCACTGAAGGATAGCTGCTCCAATGCCAGCTCACCAGCGACCTGGGGTACCAGCTCTGGTTGCCAGCCTGTGCTAAACCTATGCTACTTTGTTCCCACTGTTATTATTACTCATGTTAGCTAGAATAAAACTAATGTAGGAACGCACACCCGTGCCGCAGTCACACTTTTGTTTGCTGTGTAGTTGCACCCTGAGTCCTGACCCACTGTACCTTCCTCATCCAAGCCTAGCCTAGAAACTCACAGCTCTTCCAATGCTCCCCAGTCCTGAACTACAGCCCTCAGCTAGCCCAGCTCTGGATTCTGTTGTAGTCATTCAGATGGAAAACATGGTCGCAAAGTGTCAAAGGTGTTAATGTGCCTCTATCACAGGCCACCGTTAAACAGATTTAAACACGGTTCGGGGTTTGGTATCCAGCCTGCTCAGTCCCATGGCGAACACATCATTAAAAGTTCTTAAAGAGACAGAAAAAGAGAGGAATCACAGTCAATTCTTTATATTTCAGATGTTTTCAGTAAGGCTTTCATTTTAATAGCCTCCCTTTCTTCCATTTCCCTTTAACTGGACAGTTTTAGAAGGAACGTCTCCCCCTCCCCCATCCCAAAGTCTCCAAAGTGGTAAGAATGTCCTTTAGGAAAAAGAAAAGAAGTTAGCTGAGATGGGCTGGAGCAGCTGCTGTTATAGTTCTTTTTTCTAGAAGACAACACAAGACAAACACACAAAACAGGACAGCAAGAAAGGGAATTGCAAAGAGAGAAAATGCAGCTTCTGTCTCTAGTGTTGGCTCTCCTTTGTAGCTATGCAGCTGAAGAAACACAGGCCTGGCATCACGGTCTGATCAGTCACTCAGAGACCTGGCAAACTGGTACCCGCATCGGGTTGTGTAGGACACAGGCTCACAGCAGTGTTGCCAAATATCCAGTCTTGGCCGGCTAAGTCGGACTCTTATTAGATAGAAAGACAAAGGAGAGGGATAGGAAAGAGAAGAACTAAGGTAGAGAATGAAAAGGATACATGATGGGGGGGAGACAAAATCTCATCTCGCAGGTGTGGCTGAGACTTAGACGGAACTGGTTGAGGTGGGTGGCCATGTCATCTGGGTCCCTCTCTCTGTTGCCTGGTTTGGTCAAGATGTCTCGTGGGATTAGGATGAAGGAGGCCCAGGGGTGTCATGCTGGATTCCATGGTTCCAGGAGATGGCCACTGTGGCAGCCATGATGGTAAAGCTCGCTCCTTCCCCTGCATTCAGTCGGTAATTGTTGCATTTTCTTCCTCTCCTCTCTCAATTTATCTCCCAAACTGGTCTTTTTCAAGGACCTCAAAGGGAGGGATGGATGGAACAGCCCCCCCGCCTCATTGTTTTGGTCACCATTTAGGACTAATTTATGACACACTAGTTTTGGTCCATTGATTTCTGGTCCCACACTTCTTGTGTTTGATCTTAATACAGGGTCTTGAGTTATATTGGGAGGCCATTTTGTTTGGACTAACTCGGTCTTTCGGTCACAATTTGCACCTTTCCCAATCTACTCTTATTGTTCTATGTGACTGGACATTTCATCAATTTTTGCTCTTCACAGCTGATCTTATAATCAGGGTAAATTTAAAGGTCCATTTACCATGCTTCTTCCACACACAGTTCTGCCGGTGCCCCTCAATCCTGACTTGCAACCACCCTGAAAAGTGCCTAAGGGAATTGGATGCCATGAAAATAAGAGAAACTGGGTGTCTACATTGCTTTGGTGAATTGCTGGTGTCAATAAAGGAAGAGAAGAAAGTAGCCTGCACCACTGGATCAAATGCCCCTAGCACAAATTAAATGTGGCCACAGCAAGACTTGAAGCCCACACCACCCAATTGCCAGAACGAGCGTTTGAACCACTGAGTAATGGAACCGTAAACATCTGTTGTTGGCAGAATATCACAATAGGTGATGGGCTGATGTAAATTGCACATGCTGACATCTAAGTGATGCATTATTCTTTCTCTGCAGGATAAGAGTGATTCTCTGAAGGAAGAAGAACCCCCATTGGATGTCTGCTCTTTTTATGAGGAGCAGAAATGTTCCTGTGGAATTTTAATAACGAAAGGAGAGTGAGATGGGGAAGGACACTGTGGAAGAGATGGACAGATGAGCAGAGTAAATTACATTTTCTTGGGACCAAGGAACATTCAAAGCGATGCACTAAGGGACACAAGACCGAAGCACATCACATGAAGCAACAAGGGGCACTGCCAAAGCTCTGACTCACACAAGCAAGAAGCATAACTGCACACAACACAAACTCACCGCCAAAAGATCTAAACAGACACAGAAGGGAGAGGAGGCATGCAAGATGCACTCAAGCAAGAAGCACATATGCACAAAACACACACACAAGAAATATAACATGAGACATACAAGACTTCCATAAACAAGGGACTCAAATACACAGTATACAAACAAACAGAAGGCAAAACATGAAACATGCAAGACTGACTCATACAAATACACACATGAGCCTATACATGGAAAGATGTCTCACACACACACACACACACACACACACACAGAGTTTTGTGATTTCCTTATTGTTCATTGATTACCAGTAGAAAGGGGCTTACATTGGTAAAACTTATTGCCTTCAATAGAAAGGAATCAGCTATACTGGTATAAAGCCTGGTTTTACTATTATATCTGAATCCACAGTAATAGAAGTACTGGCATAATAGTAAAATTGGTACAGATACTGCTCTCTGTTTATCCATCCCCAAACACACCTGTCTCTCTCTCTCCCTCCCTCCCTCTCTTTCTCTCTCCACCAGTCCCTCCCTGTACACACCCATATTCCTCTTTATCTACTAACATTTTTTCCCATCCCACTGTAGGAGTCTCTGAAGACTAGTAGTTACTCTTGGCCCATGGGAAGTTGTTATTGCCAAGAGAATTCCTGGCAGGTAGTTCTGATGGCACTGCCAAACTAGGGAAGAGGCCACCACGTATAATTAACATATAGATTGGGAGTCAAAGGCCCATCTTTCCTTGCATTCTTAAAAGCTTCCAAACTAGCTAATGTCCTAGTTTCACTAAGGAGGTCATATTCCACGTTCAGCCAATAGTTCTTCTATTTGGAGGAAGTAACCAGGGGCACATCCATTTTAGACTTGATTCTGACCAATGGGGGAGAATTGATTGTGAATGTGAAGGTAGAAGGCAATGTGGGTGAAAGTGATCACGAAAAGGTAGATTTCATGGTTCTCAGGAAAGGAAGGAGTGAGATAAGACAATGGAAACTTGGAGAACTGGTAGGTAAAGTCCCATGGGAAGAAATTCTAAGAGATACAGGATTTCAGAAGAGCTGGCAGTTTCTCAAGGAAACAAACTATCCCAGTGCGAAGGAATGCTAGGAAGAATAGTAACTGGCCAATATGGCTCCATTGGGAGCTCTTTAATGACCTGAAAATCAAAAAAAGAATCCTACAAAATAGGGGGGAAATGAATGAATTGATAAGGAGGAGTACAAAAGAATAGCTCAAGCATATAGGGACAAAATCTGAAATGCTCAGGTACAAAATAAGTTAGCAAGGGACATAAAAGGCAATAAGAAGAGGTTCTTTAAATAATTAGGAGCAAGCAAAAAATGAAGGAAATTGTAGGTCCTCTACTTAGCAGGGAAGGAGAGCTAATAACTGATTACATCAAAAAGGCGGAGGTGTTTAATCCCTATTTGCTTCAGTTTTCATTAGAAT